TATATATATATATATATATATATATATATATATATATATATATATATATATATATATATATATATATATATATATATTACTGCTGTCAATCGATTAAAAAAATTAACTAATTTACATAGTTTTTTTTATTAATTGCGATTAATCGTGATTAATCACATTTAGCCAAAAACTTGTAATTTTGGCTATTCAAATGTAAAATTGATGTAAACGCAAGACAAAAACTATTCTAATAAACTAATTCTAAATATAATTGTTTATTAGAATTTTTGTTTAACTTGTAACACAGATTTCTTTATGTAAACAAACCCACAATAAACCATCAAGATCCTGGCTTGACAATCATATTTATTACAGAATTAAAAACACAGGCATGTTAGTGCCATATGAATTTTAAAACAATCAATGCCAATAAAGAAAAAAAAAAAAAAAACGATTTCCATGTTGGATTCTAAGTGGACTGCAAAAAATGCCAAAATACAGGCATTATGGAAAATTATAATAATAATAATAAAGAATTGAAAACAAACAATTGTACTGATTGAAAAGTTGTATTGCTGATAGTTGAGAACATTACTTATAAAGTAGAAACATTTTTGCTTAGTCCTCCTTTACATTCAGCCAGTTGCTAAAACAGTCCAGTCTGTTGACATTATCGGAGGACAATGTGGACCTTTTCTTTTGAATGATGTGAGCTGAGAGTGCAACGCAATCTCACGGCAGTTCGTAACTTTTTGATTTAGTGCACACACACACAGACACACACACACAACGAATGCACATTACACACCGGGCTGGGTAATAAAATTGCTGTTGATATTTATTAACCAAACACGAATATCAATAAAAAAAGATTCGGTATGTATTTTTGGTATTTAGCACTTTAGTTTTATTAAAATGTGTCTGCTGAGCCCGCCCCTTGGAAGCAATGCACATAAGTTCAGGGTGTTTGTCATTTTGAATGAAGGCACACAACTCGCACAGTGTGCGTATGGAATATACACATTTCAGTAATAATAGCAGACTATTTACCCCAAAAAGTGCATGCAAACGCTGCAGCGCTTTTAACTTTTCTCCATAAACTTGTATCGGAGTGGCAACAATGGTTTGTCATCCTATGAGAAAACAGCTGATGGTCGTCCAGTTATGAGAGATGCCAGGGGAGTGAGAGCGCAAAGCCCTTGTCACTTCAGGACAGAACAACAACACATGCCTAAATGAGTGCCGTATAGCTGCGAGGAGACTGTAAATAAAAAGCATGTAAGGATGTTGCCAGAGTGGCTTTTTGGTTTCTTTTCTTGTGCGTCCCAGCCACTAGCTTCCCATCTGAGAGAGTTTTTAGCATAGGGGATAATGTAGTCATTCAACTTCACTTTTTGTAATGTTGCAGTGTGTTAGAATAACGATGATTAGTTCCTTTACTTGAAAGCTCAGATTTGAATTATCATCATTTGTTTTGTTTACAGAGTTTGAGGTTTACTGTATTATTATTGACACCTGAAAGTTTGCTTTGCTTGTTCAGCATTTACGCTTTACCATTTCACACACTTTGTAACATTTTATTTATCAAATTTAAGAGTCTCTTTAACACTTACGCTTATTTTATCATATAGAGATCAGGGGCCTCATGTACGAAGACTTGCGTGGAAATCTTACTAAAACATTGCGTACGCACAAAGCTGTAAATGTGCGTACGCAGAAAAAAATTCAGATGTATAAAGCACTGCGTACGCCGAATCTCACGCATATTCTTTTGTACATCCGAATGAACGTGAAACTGAGCGCAACATGCACGAGCGCAAAACCCCTCCCTGCCTCCTCCCCCGTATGAATATGCAAATGACTCAACTTTGGCAAAACCAAAGAAAAAGCAACGGCAAAAGCAAGCCAAAAGAGAAACTTTGAACAGAATGTGAATTGGAGGTGCTGCTTTCGGAGGTAGACTGGAGAAAAGCAGTGTTATTTGCAAGTTTGTTCTCCGGAATTAACAACAAAAGAAAAAAATAGAGTGGGAGAGATAGCTGATGCGGTTAACACAGTTGGGTCTGAACATCGCACTGAGTGCATTAAAAAAATAAATAGTCTGGTTTATATCTGTAAAATGTTGCAGCACTCTTAACAGTCTCAGTGGCGCGCTTGTAAGACGCATGTGGTCATGTTTTGACACGTTCGAGCATGAACTCGGCTCGAATCCAGCGTCTGATGAACTCTTTCTTATTTTTTTCCCCGCTACATATCAGATTTTGCCAACTATTTATCACGAGAAAGACAAGTAGGAATCATCAATAAGTTTGTGCATCATATTTTATTTGCACATTTATTGAATGGAAATGTTTCTGATTCACGCATGCAAATTCATCTTCAGATAGTGTCTTTATAGCAATGTGTGTGCATAGATAGTTCAGATTACATTGGGAAAACAGGCGACTGCTGCAAATTGTGCTTTAATGTTTAGCTGGTCAACTGTATGGTATGGAAACCTTATTTACCTGCTAGATGAACCTGTCTCATACAGCTGCCATTGCAAGGATCAGACACTTTGTAGAGAGGAATTTAACACAACTGCCTCTAGGAGTCGCCAATGTAAATAAAACAGACACGCACAAAAAATGTGCGTACGCCTGCCAAAAAGCTGCCATGAAGCTGCGCACATTCCCACGTTCAGTTCATTGTTAGTAAATCCAAACGTGGGCGATTCTGAGCGTGAAACCTGGCGTACGCAAAGTTTTTGTGCGTACGCAACGTTGATACATGAGGCCCCAGATATTTCGTTTAAATATTTTAGTTTGTGATTATTAAAACTATTTGCCTTAGTAATGTTGGTAAATTAAAATAGTGGTTAAATAACAAAAATCCTAATATTCCTAAATATGTTGTTGAAACATATTCAATAATTATCGATATTTAATTATATGAAGCATGATATTGTGATTTTTTTTTTTTGCAATATCGCCCAGCCCTAATTACTCGCATGATTTATACCTAATTTCTACTGACTAATTTATTTGTCTTTGCCATGAGAGTAAAACATATTGTTATTATATATTCAAAACAATGCTTGTATACAATTTTTGAACATTGCATTCTAATTAAATTGTATAAACAAATTAAACTCTACAAACAATACGTAGAGTTTTGCTAAATTACGTTAAAACCTTACTGAGTCAAACATTTTGAAACTAGTTTAAGTCCATCAAGAGAAATTGAAAAGCGTTTTAAAATCATTGCAATATTCTCAAACACTGCATCACCAGCAATTCAAGCACAAACATGACATAAATATTCAGCATGTCTCCCAGTATGTGATGCATCTGCAGAACCTCTGATGTAAACTCTCTTTCTGTGTGTATAAATGAAAGCGCTTTGAAACCCCTTCAGTGCATTATGTGTGTATATCAGTGCAGAAGATGGGCATGTGGTTTTCCCTCGCCTGGCCAGACACACACGCACATGCACGCACGCATACACACACACAGAGCTAATTAGCAGGATGATGCTGAGCTAATTGTGTTAATTTACAAGGTTTTAGTCAAAGGGATCGCTGCTTTGGCTGGCAAGGCTGTCAGGCCCGCGAGTTAATGACTAAGAAAGGCTGAAGACAAAGAAAGCTGGCAAGAACATGGCAGACATG